ACAGCACAGTGACACTTGTCTTTTTTTTTTTTGTCTTTTTTTGTTGTTGTTGTTGTTTTGTTTTTTGGTTTTTTCGAGACAGGGTTTCTCTGTGGCTTTGGAGGCTGTCCTGGAATTAGCTCTCGTAGACCAGGTTGGTCTCGAACTCACAGAGATCCACCTGCCTCTGCCTCCCATGTGCTGGGATTAAAGGCATGCACCACCAATGCCTGGCTTGGTTTTTGCTTGTTTGTTTGTTTGTTTGTTTTTCTGAATGCAGACAATCTAGAACACTTACTTTTTCCTGTAAGGCATATTGAGGTCTCTCATAGGGAATACACTAAACTTCAGCACTGTATGTGGCAGCCATTTTAAACAATGAAATCAGTAAGGACAAGGTTTGAAGGTGTGAAATAGACTACCCAAAGGAAACTTGTTTGCAATACAAGTGAGCAGATCATGGCCTGGTTCACATCTGGGACTAACCCTTCTTCCCGCAATGCAAATCCTTTTGCCTTCCTGCACATCCACATGGCTGTGACAAAGAATGTGCTATCGGGTGGTTTTGGAGCCTGCAAATATCTTAGAATTAGTAACCATGCTATAAATACACTGTCGGCAAACAAAGAGTCTCAGACCATATTCAAATTGACACATTGTGATAATTAAGTGAGTGTTCCTTCTCATTGATGTAGACAATACTAAATTATTTGGGGGTGGTTAAAGGGTTACTTATTATCCATTGGCAATTTCATACATATGCAATGTATTTTAGTCGATTTCATACTTTATTATCTTCTCTCATTCCTCTCTCACCCCTGCTGAACCCTTTCTTTATCCTAACAATTCCCTCTACTATTTTCATGTCTTTTGATTGTTGGTTTGTTTCTGTGACTCATTGAATTTAATTGCAGTTGCTAGGAGCAGAGGTGAGGGCTGTTTACTGGAGCACGTGGGGAGTGGGGGGACTTAATCATGCCTACACCTGGGAACTTAACCATGTCTAGCCCATTGAGAAATATGCCTCCCAGAAAACATTAACAGCCTGTACCTCCTCAAAGAGGGGTGGAGTCTCATGAGCCCCTCCCCTTCCTTGATGGAATGTTGACCTTCCCATCTTGTATAAGCAACCACAACTGCTTCAGTTCTGAGTAAAGCAATACCATCCCCAGAAAAGAGCACTTTCCGGCATTTTCCCATTCTCCACACCCTCCTTTCTTTCTGACACTCTTCTGCGATGCTTTCTGAATTGTAGAGGGCATGATAAAGGTGTCCCACATAGGGCTGATTAGTCAATAGCCACTCATTCTCAGCATTTTGAGCAGCTCCAAGTTTCGGCCTTGGCAGTCACCTTCTGTAAAGAAAAACGTCTATGGCTAAGGCTGAGAATAGTATTAATCTATAAGGCCCAGGCCTTACAGCTCTTTTTCTTTTATGCACAAAACCCACATCCTCATTGGTCCATGTCAGTTAGTAAGAAACAGAACTACAAAAACAAAACAAAACAAAAAACAAGGTTAGTACATTTGAAGTATTTTTTGTTACTCACAGACTTTCCTGGAACTATGGACCAGGTCTTTGTTCCAATTTGGTAGGTCTTGGGGCCTATGTGCTGGGATTTAAGGTGACAATGTTAGTGCCTCTAACATGGCACTAGTTGTGCTAAAGTCTGGGGTGGGGGGTGGCTGCTGCATTGTGCACTGGTTCTGTGGGCATGGGTCAAATCACAGGCTCATCTTGAGGGAGGGGATTACATCACCTCAGCACTAGCAATTTAACAGAATTCACTCTCAGTTTTACATAGTTCAGTATGCATTTGAGCAAGCAGGATCCTATAGTGAGGGCTAGGAGAAAAAGGATAAATGGCCTAGAAACTGCCTAGAAGTGGAGTAGTTTGTGGTGATATTTTTTTGTTTATGATCTAATAAAGCTTGCCTGAAGATCAGAGTGCAAAGCCAGCCACAGCCTTAGAGGCCATGCAGTGGCGGTACATACCTTTAATCCCATCAGCCATACTAGTTAGCCATAGAGGCCAGGCAGTGGTAGTACATACCTTTAATCCCAACACTCAGGAAACAGGTGCACATGGATCTCTGAGTTCAAGACCATTTGGGAGTGAATTGGTCTAAAAAAGAAACAGAGCTCACACATTTGATCCCAGCACTTGGGTTGACACACCTTCAGTCCCAGCCCTAGGCAGGTGGTGACAGAAGTGATATGGCTAGTCAAGAGAGGAATATAAGGCAGGAAGAGACAGGAACTCATTGCAGTCTGAGGCAGTCTGAGGAACAGTGCAGTCTGGAGATGCAATCTGAGGTTTGGTAGTTCACCCCTTCTGTCTGGGCATTGGTGGAGGTTAGAACTCTCTGGTGGCTGACTGCTTTGCTTTTCTGATCTTCTCCTTGAACCCCAATATCTGTCTCTGGTTTTTTTTGTGTGTGTGTCTCTGGTTTTTTTTTTTGTGTGTGTGTCTGGTTTTTTATTGTTAAGACCAACTATTATTCATGCTACAGAAGTTAACCAAGAGAACAAGGATTGATACAAGTTGTCAGATGTTCGGTGTCTCTTTTCTCCTTCCTTAAGGTTATTTCTGACCATAGTTAAACTTTCTCTAATTAAGCTGACTGGTTGGCATAAGAGCAAGTTTCTCCTAGTGTCTCCTTATTGCATGCAGAGGAGGTCCTAACCCTTGTAATTCTAAAGAACAACCTCTGCTAAGGAAACTGGGGCTTCCAGGTGGAAAATAGAAATTTCCAGATGGCTTAGGTCTTTGTCTACTTGAGCACTGAGTCCCTTAAGGTTTTTTTTTTTTTTTTAAGATTTTATTTATTTATTTATTTATTTATGTATTTATTTATTTATTAGTATACAACATTCTGCTTCTGGGGCCAACTGCATAACAAAAGTTACCTTCAATCCTAACAGCTCCTAGCAAAAACTGTCCAGAACATCCTTGCCTTGGTTTGTGTAGAGCTGGAAGTCAGGTTGGGTAGAGGAATCTACTCTATTTAGGCTGCACTGTTCTCAAATGATTTTCCACCTGGACAAGGGCACCTTTCCTATACTCAAGCTACATCCTGTCCACTCCTCAGCCATCAAGAGGGTGGCCAAGAGCTGCTGGCATTCATTCCAGATCAGCTCTTGGGGGGAAAAGA